GAGTAGGATAAGCCACATATTATGTATAACTTAAGAAAAATATTCAGTCTTTATACTCTGTAGTAATATTAGAAACATGAAAATGGTCAAGTAATTAAAAAAGGTTTTTACCAAAATATTAATAAAAACTGGTGTCGATTTATATAGTAAATGATAATTTCCATTTGATAATTGAAGGGTTTCTCTTTAGACCATCTTTGGTATATTATTTTTTCTTCTATAATTTATACTAGAATAGATAAAATCTATTATAATGTAAATTTTGCTTCAATGATTTATTTAGTGAAATATAGAGTAATATCATTATTTCACTCCAAATATGAAATGAAAAATTGACATTCTTCTATATTTCTTTTTATAATAGAGTAATTCTATTATAAAATAAATTCTTGAAAAAAATTTATACTATAATAGAATTATTTTATTTTATTGTAAATTATAGAGAAAAAAATAGTGTACTATTGGAAATACCTTTCCAAATAATTTATACTAACATGCCGATTTGCTTTCTAAAACTAGAAGGCGGACAATCTCATATCTTTAAGAATACTATAATATATGCTTTTCAAAGACATTGAAAGGAAAACATTGATTACGTTTTTGAATCTCACCTGCTGTTTTGATGCCTAATTGTATAATTTATTAATAGTATATCCATTCAATAATACATGTTTTGGCCAACAGTTTTCGTAGCAAATACCACCATCTGCAAATATCCTTTTGTTATTGTTTAATGAAACCAATTGGAGATCTCTCTGAGAAAAAGCATGTTCTACGAATGAAAGTCCGCCAACTATAGCTTGATATTAGGGAGTTTAAAAGAGTTCGTGTGAAGAGAAGAATTAGGTTCGTCTTGAAAAACGTAAAAGTCGCAAACATCAAGAATCCTAACTTGGAAAATAGCCAAATGGTTTGCGGCCACGTTCCGGGGGATTGTAATCTCATTGGCAAACCAGGATGAGTCACCTAAGCTACTATCCCCATTAGGGCAATAACTCTTTTCTTTGCTCCAATTATATCAAAGTAGCCACGACTCCCACTTCTCCATTTTTTATTTTTAAATCTGTTACTTCCAAAACTAGTAATTTAAGATAATTCATAAATTATAAGTTAGATCAGTCTAACCTTTCTGGGCCAGTTTAATGAATATGGAGTTTGATGGCAAGAAAAAAAAACAATGACAAAATAAATAAACAAACGAAATCCAAATAAAATTAATACTAGATCTCAACCCGCGCAACCGCGCGGGTATTTGTTTTCATTTATTTTTATATAAACATTTTTTTTACTTCTAAATTGATATATTATATAAGGTGTGTACATTAAAAATGATATATTATATAAGGTGTGTATATCGAAAATGATGATTAAATTATTATATAATATAGATTAATTATTGTTAGAAAATGATATTTTTGTCATTTTTAAAAATAAACTATACAATTTTTAAAGTTAACATCGAAAATATTTAACTAATTAACTTTTTACTATTAACATCAATGGATTATCTAATTTTTATTAGCCAAATAAAAATTTATAGTAAGCCCAATAAATGTTATTAGTGAATCTAATAAATGTTATTAATGATTAAATATATAATGTGACCAACTCTAGTAGATAGTC